GGAATTTATCTGAATAAGAACTGAAGGTGATTCTATGACGTACTGATGAAACTGTCTAGTTGTTTTACAGACAAATTGCAGTAGCTCAGGTGACACTGTATATATGGTTACGCTGCAATTCACTCCTACAAACTCTTCAGTGATGCCACCATATGTCTTAGCTGAGCGATACCCACAGATGTTGAACCCGAGTTTTTTTTTTATAGAATGGGAATGCATTCTCTACAGTCACTTCAAAGATTGCAGTCGTCTATATTTGAAAATTCTCAAAGACGTCCAAAAACAATTCTACGTAAACTATTGGGCAACACATCGGAATTTACTGATCCGTACCACTTGGTCAAAAGCCTCCTTGGGTAAACAGAGAATTTTATGTTGTACTTGTATTTTCACATAGGCGCATATATCGAAAGCACTTGAAGAGAGGTGGATTTTGTCCAACGAGGAAGCTGATGCCCCGCATGGACTGTTGACGTAGTCACGACATGACTTCTGTCCACAACACACCTCTTTCAAAAAAATTTATCTTTCCAGAAGTCGTTACAGGGCACGAAGGTCACGTAATGGTAACAACTTGAGAGACTTATTGAAGACTTTCGGTACAGCTCTAAACATTTGTACAATTTCTACAACATTTTGACGTTAAATCTGTTCAAGATCTTCAAATTTTCAAGCCTGCTTGAGTTTATATTCCTTTACATGCGTATAACACTCCACAAATTTGTTGAGTTACTTCAAAATGACCTCTGAACTTCCCAAATTTTCAACACGAATTTTCACGTGACAATCTCGAGACAGAGCTCAATAGTTTTGACAAAATAACAGCGTAGTAACTGCATCAGTTCATTATCATATTCCCGAAAGATCTAGATGTATTAGCAAAGTTTCTCGTAGGAAAGTCGCTTAACATTGAACTAAAATAGTAGCTATATTCTTGTGAAAATTCTTAGAAAACCGTGGATTGCCTGGGAACCCGTCATTTACAGCTTCTCAGCAAGGTGTTCATTGCAAGATTGGAAGCAATACAGCAAAAAAGTCTCGAATTTTTTTAAGTATTAGTGGTTAAGCGGAGAAAGACGGAAACGTCTTACTTTTTGGTGAAGCGGACTTCATGATTTAGTGCAAACAGCAATCATGTAATAGACACCTAAACCGGTACAATTTCTAGAAAAGCAAACAAGTATCCTTAGAAAGCGTTTCCGATTATGTACGACAGATGACTTACCTGCTTTTGCGAATAGATCTTTAAAAATGAAACTCCTACGTTAAATAAAATCGCACAGAATGAATAATGCCACATTTCAAAGATATGAGCGTTAGCAAAATGATCTTAGCACATGGATTCGAAAGCATCATCGACATGTGGAAGGCTGACCACCTTCAGACGAAAAATTCAGCACATGATGTTCAATCACTTTACGCCATACACTCAAGTTATATGTGACTCATTATGGATATGCTTTAGATACTTCTATTTAGGGCTGAGAAGTTAATACATGCATTATGTACTATGCTCTTTTAACACCTCAAGAGATAAGAACGCTTCAAGACTTTCGAAATTAAAAGAATAAAGGATAAAGCTCTTGGCATTGATCACTCCCTGAAGGAAGCGCCATGCATTCGTCTTCAATTTTCAACTTCGCTAGAGGTGATTGAATGCATATCTGGCCTTTACAACATTGATTCGCGGTGGCCTACCGCTGAACCGAGTCAGTGCTGCCCATTTTCCCAGACAAGTCTCAGACCAGTCTGATTCCAATTTACCGACCACGGAGGGATGGATGGCTTGGTGAGTCATGAGCGCGAGATCTTGAAATTATCAAAAAGAAATGAACACTTACCTCTGTTGAGCCATTCAGCTATCTAGTACTTCGTCGAATTATTCGACTATTCAGTAGTGCGTCAAATTAATCGACTGTTCAGTACCGTGTCGAATCATTCGACTATCAACAAGAGTACAGGTTAATGTTATTGTTGAAACCATGGGCATATTAGGAAACCTGCGGAGCAAGTTCCGTCAGAAAGACTGTAAATTGACTTCAAAAGTGATAAATAAAGTCTTCAGTAGAAGAGGAAAGGATATACCGTTTTTCATTTACTCTATTCTTTTTCACAATAGATTCACCCGTCTCAAAATCATATTAATGAATGTGCAACGACTGCAAAGAAATCTTAATACAGAAGACACAAGTTAGTTCTGTCTACACACGTGCTAGTATAGTGAAAAGAAATAGATGAAAATGAAATATAGTGCATATGAGAGAGAATACAAGGAAATTTATGTTCTTACTGTTCCGAGCGAGTTTTTGATCATACACTGTTGATCCGAGTGAAAACGCTCAACCGCTCGCTGTTAGGGACTTTTTTAAAACGTATCGATGAATTGCGTCTGTCGATAGATGTCAGCAACCTATGCAGGAGGATAACATCAACATTGACGCGTTCAGCTTCGTCAGAAACATCACAACAATGCGCTCTCATTTACTTATACTTTCCACATCAGCAATCGGAGTTGGATTGCTTTCTAATCACGCGCATTGAAGAGTGCTCAATGCGACAGATGATGTACACATATGCGGGCCGTACATCACCCAGGTAAACGGATTAACTACAAAGATAGGAAAAACAGAAAATTATATGTCGAGCATGTTGCGACCGTTTCGGTTTCATTCTCAAAAGAATATAACTGAAACTAAAATATAACATAACGTGATAGATATTTTGCAAAAATAATATAATTTACCATAATATTGTGAAATATAACTCAAAGAAATAAATACATTTTGATATGATGTAGAAGGCAAATACCGTAGTCATGATGATGCCACACCTCCAAATAAGGGTTGATACGATGGCCCTCCGGTTATCACCAAGATTCTCATCCCTCGGGGTCGATAAATTGGCAGATTTGTCCAGGAACAAGTAACGCCCTCCAATCTACGTGGAAATGTACAAAATTCCAGGTAGAATCGAGTATACCAACATTCTTTATCTACAGACAATACAAAAATCCCCAAACATTAATCGAGTCTAAATGCTGAAATTATGAGGATTACAGGAATTCCTTATTTCACTGTTTTTATAGAACGTTATGTTACAGCTATATATCCAAGAACGCTGGCTGATATGCAGAACTCGAAACCCCTGGTGGGAGCTGAACACGCGTTTCACGATTGTTTAGAACTCGTGCTAACCACTACGCTATTGAGGTTCTTACTCCGCTTTCAGTCATTCTGTGGCAAGGAATGTGAAGGCTCTTTCTTATTTTAGACCATCAGTCTTGAACAAAGCCTCCCGCTCTTCTTAAGGCAATTTCTTACCAATTATCGTACCATTAGCTATTGATTTCCAAACCATCTCGATTGTAGAGTTAGATAATAGTGTATCGTTCTTACTGCAGTGTAGACTTTTATAGACGGTCTAATTGCCACGATTGAGATTTTCGCTGAGAGGGCAAGATTCCTAAGACCCACGTGGTGAAAAAAGAATAGATACAAGCAGTTCCAAGTGCTTAGATCAAATCAGTGTCATACTCGATTCGAAAAAGCACCCGGCCTTCCGCATTCTCATTCGGAGTCCAAAATCGTAAGCTTATCTGACTATTCTAGCCTAGAAATCAATTATAGTACAGTGAAACTATAACTAAAAGGTAGATATCAATATTTTGCAGAGTTAATGCTTAACTACACATAACTACACATAGCGACCCACGACAATCGAGCAGGGAGTTAGCATCTACAAATCAATTAATTAATCGCCAAACTATATTAAATAAATGAGTAGAGTGGTGTGCAAAAACGTTTGTGTCAGCCAGGATTCTAACCCAGATCTTACTCTTTCCGTAGTAGTAGAGAGAGTGGAGTGCAAAACGAGCATCGGTGATGCAACGGTTTAGCACATGCCCGGAAAGAGTAAGATTTGGCTTTGAATTCCGGCTGACGCAAACGCTTCTGCACACCAATCTACATCATTGGGTTTATTGGAACATCATATCGCCGCAATAGGTGGTCAAATAAAATGATTTCCGATATCTTAAATTACCTAATATGTCACTGATCATTCCACCACTGTAAGACTTTTTATGTAATTTTTAACAGTATTTTATCAAATGTACTCTTGAAGAAGATGAAAACGGTTTCATAAAATAAAATTAGCTATGCGGAAAGTGTAAAGTTCCACAGTCATTTTGAGAGTTCAGAATCTTATACCTTGAAAGTTCTGTAAAGTCGAAAGATACTTTACTCGCAGCGAAATATCATTCTAGGCTTCGTACAAATACGCTGAACAAGGTGCGACCTTCCCCGATATCAGAATTAGAGACAAATAACACCATCATTGTAACCTGCAAATAGTTTCCGCATCAGTCTGACAAAGATAGATTGTTAATGAGGAGCACAGAAGGTACAGCGATGTTATGTCGATAAAAAATGCAACAGATTGCTATAAATCTCTAAGGGCAACATTATATAATTTGAGCTTAGAGTCCGAAACTACTACCATCTGGTTTCATACGTTCCGCTAAAAGTTGTGCTGGTATGACGAATAGTGTAGAAAATATCGAAATCTACGCCGAACCAAACGATAAAGGGTTTTTCATGGAAAACCCAACAGCACCAATGTGATCTCAATGAGGTTGATACTGTTCTATATATACATCACCAACGTTTAGTTGCACTCTGACATTGCAAAATTCACCTGCTACACTTATATTTTTCAGGATTTCAGAGCACAATCTGAAGAGGAAGAAGGTGAGTAAATTCTACAATCTACGCCACTAAGTTATTAAAGCATAAGCTGAAACTGGAAGCAGCTATCCATGACGCCTTGTGTAATTTGTGAGCATAATGCTGGACGGTTATGACGAACGAGTACTAGTTATTAGAATGGCTGTCAGCTCAACTGGGTTTATAAAGCGAAATCGCATAGCCGACCAACCTGTTGAAGGTTGGTGGTTGACAACTAACATAGAGATGCTGAAGAATGGATGGTGGCGCGAATGTACCTCGGTAGTGTAGTGGTAGCACGCGTCCCCGGTATGAATGAAACGCGGGTTTGGCTCCCGTCTGAGGTCGTATTTTTGCACATAACTCAATTCTCTTAGGTTGTGACAGAGTCAGTGGGGCCTCATTTAATCACTGTTTTACGCCGTTTCTCAATTGTAAAAGCCACATTCCTCAGGACGATGTACAAAGAAAAGACGCATTAGAGGGTCCCCTCTGACGTTTACAATTCTTGCCCAACTCGCACAAATTACATCACAATTTTGCATAAGAAATAATCCTACAATTCTTTCTAAGGCCATATATAAAGTTCCACAGTGAAAAAAGCCTATCTTCGGCCGAGGCAACTTACTATTCACCTTTTCGGGAAATTGATCATTGATCATTAGGCACCCCTAGATGAGACAAACATTTCTAGATACTACATCGATTACACCATTACAGCCATATTGTCTCATTCCACTTTATTTCGTACTTCATACAACTCAATTACTTACTCATTTCTTCTTCACTTGGTTTCACATTTCATGTTTATCATTATCATACACCTTATTTCAGTAGAAAATTCCCATAAGTTTTCTTTAATAAATTGGCATTTTCCTCCTACAATGAGAAATATTAACGGAAAACATACATAAGCGTGATGAAAGTCACTCGGCATTACTAAAGGTGCAGTGTCGAAAGATCGACGCGAGGAAAATCCCGTATGTTGGAAATGCAAGAAAGAACATGAAGTTCTAACCTATGTCAACGATCGAAAATCAGAAACCCCGTTTTCCACGTCAGACTGACGAGGATAACGTGGGCAGGACATGTAATACGCTTTGACGACAACAGATGGACAACAGCTGTTATCAAACTTGACTTCTCCAGGTGACAAACGCACAACAGCAGGACCATCAAACTAATGGTCCGATTTCTTCATAAAAAGACCAAAAGAAAAATATGATGCTCAACGGATTTCTGGAGCTAAACGGACCCATTGCATTAATCTTGCACGCGATATGGAAAAAATGGATGTTTTGGTGGTGCCCACTTACGTCACTCGACAATGAACAGGACCACAGTGATTAACAGTCCACTCAGTCAAGTCCACGGCTCAGGTAGCGTTGTCTACTTTCAAAAGGCACATTTATCGTGATGGTACGATTTAATTCATATTAGACCTTGGTTGGACACTCCGAACTCGTTTAGCTTCTCGTATTTTAGTGGCCACAAAATTTGGAGTAGAGTTGTCCAAGATCAGCTCTTCCCCTCCGAACAAAGTAACATCCCAAAATTTGATCAAGAGTCGTCTCGGCAAGCATTAAGAAACATTCATGAAGAGGACAAAAAATCTCCATGCAGCTGTAAAAACAATGAGGAAAATTAAAACGCTTCGCAATTGAGGGGGGCGAGGAAACACATCGAATGCAAAAAATGACAGAATCAGCACTATATATGTGATGTCGCTTCATTTGAAATGAATTAAAAAGCATCTACTATTCAATTTTGACTCTTGGTGTACAAACGAATAAAAAAAATGTGGAGGAGCTTGCAAACGCATTTAGATAATAACACAATTTTTCCTTTTTCCACACGAATCTCAATATTCTATAGTTCTACGTACGCCGAATCTCGCGCCAGCCGTCATGCTCGAGGCCGACCAACACCATGGACGACTATCGCCAGAAGAAGGAACGAGTGGAAAATGTGTTGGGATTCGCACAATCTTGAAGACGGACCGTACAAGTACCCAAGTAAGTATGTGTACACTATAAGTATTCGATGAAACTAAAGGTGTACTAGATTATTGTGTGTTAGGAGTAATGACGGATTCCACACTACACATCTTCGAGAGGAAAAAAATGGCCTTTTCTGGGACATCTCAACGCCGCGAAATCATCAGGAAAGAACGTGTTAAAATATTTTGATCATAAGAGTTCAAATAACGTTAGGAGGCCTCACACTCTCTATTACAACCTAGTGCAAATTCTAGCATTCAACAAGAAAGTCACTGAACTTAAGCTTTGCTGAACATTGACTTTGAAAACAGAAAGACTTCTAGCAAAATTCGAAAGAGAAGAAAGATTGACAGCATTACTAACAGCTACGTAAAGGATAAAAATAAAAGCGCTCGGCTAGAGTATGCTATTCAGGCCATTAAGCATCGTAGAACTCGTGTGCATACTTGGCCCGTACGATGATTTGCGACAAATACTGATGTGTGGAATCTGTGCTCTTTACTTATTCAAAGAAGACTGTAGAAATTCGCTAATTACAGATGAATGGAGGGCGTACATTGCCAGGTGAATGAACAGCTCTACTCACTGGAGGCGACGAAATAACTAACGATACTGCTCACAGTACAGGGCAACTCTAAATCAGCTGTGCTACTCAAGCCTCTTACAACGATATAATATGGATTTTCCGAGAATTTCCAATTGGCATTCTCGCCTAGTAAAGTCCACATAATTGTGCGATGCATCATTCTCAGTTATAACAGTAGCGATCTCTCATATTATTCACTCTAATTCTTCGCTCTCAGTACATTCCTATCCAAGTCCACCGCTCCACTGAATATAAGTGCAGCACAAAAAGAACATTTTGACGGTAAATAAATCGTCCAAGCAAGAACAAATACGTTGTGTACAACACAGCTCAGATATTTATTGGCGCCCTCGATGAGCAGATTTTTTTGCTACACGGAAATAACGCCTCAAATAAGCTGATATGATCATTTTCCAGTGGATAGAGTCGACTTAGGGAGTGAGTGTAAATGTAAGCAAGGCGTGTGTCATCAACAAAGTGCCTCACTATATTGCAACCTCGATATTTCGGTAGGGAGTAAAGAAAGCATAGAATTCCAACTGACGAAGAACTTAGCAGCATATGAGATGGAATTGAAAATCGTGAGAAAAGAATGCATAAGATTGTTATTTCCTCTTCTCAGTGTTTACTGACTTTTCGCCAGCGTTACACCACGAATTGATGGAATCGACACTTGTTGGAGCAGTTGACCATAAGCTGAAGTCGTCGCCCGCGAAAATTCTGAATGGTGCAGCGTGGTCCACTGGAGCTACAGTAGTCCCTAACGATAATCCCATCGACATTGGATCGTAAGATGTAGTAGCTGCTTCAGATGACAAAGAGACTAGGTCATGTTGATCATTCCAATGAGTAGACAAGGAGGCGCGTGATCCTACTGGTGTGGGAGGCCACAATCTTGAGCTTCCCTGAAAAACAACTCGATTCATTCTACACTCTGATACAAGACAAAGAAACGTCACAACTGTGAAATTAGGCACAAACTCACATTGTTTCTTTCGTCTGATTCAATTAGCGCACCAAATCGAAGATCCGGCATCGGCCAGTCTTCCAAACCACCTAGTTTACAAAAATATCTACCAAAGAAAAACCAAAATTATGGGCTTGCAATCACCTGCACTGTTATTGAGCAAGTATTCGTTCTCTCGACGTCGACGCTCTTCGTTCAGCTCAGCAGCTAATGTTTTTTTCCGAACCCGATCAGCACTAGCTTGGTGACAACACGACTGTAACATCTACCGATTAATGAGTATCTCAAGTGAACTACTAACCCTTCTTAAAATGCGCACGGAATAAAGTGTTTTGAAGGTCTGTGGAATAAAGTCACTGTGTTCAGACACAAAACCTAATCGCCAATAATTCTCTACCGTTAAACAATCCACAAGCTGTGAGAAATTTTTGGAATTAGTCGCCCTATTTCACGAAGCTACGACTATGTTTTGAAAAGAGGGAAAAAAATCGCACCTTTTCAGCAACGTGTGCGCTTTCATTGCACACAATCCGCCCACCACGCCGTCGCTTTTCACGACGTGTCCGTCTTCTATGGGCTGCCTGTGCAGTAGACGCTGACAGATTGGTCAGTTTGGGTGCTTGTCCACGACTGATGTTCTCATTCTCATGTTCTGCTGATTCATTCATCATGAACTCAGTTACTGCTGCCATTGCAGAAAAATCGTCATCCACATCGTCTGAAAAGTCACATCCTTTATATCAAGTTGTGTCCACTAACTACAATGAACAATCAATCATAACAAGTCGACTTTATATGTAGATGACCGAAAACACGTGGTACGTTGTTAATGCTAGGAGAATGTGGCATGCAAAACTAACACTTTTTTAGATTTGAAAAAAGTCTCCTTCAAAAATAAAGATTCAAAACTACAGTAAATTCACTGAAGTTTTCCGAAGCATGATTTTCCTAGTCAGTTTGAAGTAATCAAACTCGATATGTGTTAGTCACAAGCCAAGGTATTTACCACTTTCAATTATGAAAATCAAAGTCAGTTCACAAGCAAAGAATCCACGAATGTTTTGCTCGTAAACAACAAACCACTACCTGGGCTAACAACTTCATTGAGCCAGTCTGGTGCGGCGCTAAGTTCACTGTTTATACTCTGTTCACTTTCGCTTTGTTGTCTCGATCGTGCAACTTCGGGGCTTAGAGATGTTCCTTGCGCGTCACCCTGAATCATGAAAGTGAGAATCCCTGTGATAGTATCTTGTTGTGACAGTGATAACTTACTCCACGTTCTGTTCCAATGTTGGATGCCACCGTAGGTGAAGCAGTGGTAGACATATTCAACCCATCATAAGCCATTTGACCGTAATATTCGGCCAAAGCCTCCAATGAAACACCAGTGATATCCATGCCACTAATAGGAAGAGATAGCCCAGGAATAAATGTGGGAATCACGGGTAGCACGACCGGAATCGGAATCGGTTCATTTGCTGCGGACGCTCCTGTATACACAGTTGGATGGACTGCCGAAACAGGAATAAAGGATGCACGGGAGACGGGAGTAGAATTCGTGTGAGGCAAATTCAGCAGCTGATTCGATGTCGTGGCAGCAGGAATTTTAGCCATAAGAAAGGGTGCGGATTGACGAGCTGTGACCGTTGTTCCGGAGTTTGGTAATATCCCACTACATTGCTGAACAGGTGCAACGGTAACAGGGTTGGTGGGTGTTCGATGAGGAGAATCTGAAAATTGAAAAATCGATAATGAACGATTTGTAACTCGAAAGTGTGGACAGCTTCAACTGTC